ACAAGGGATTACAGAATGTTAGAGAATATGAGAATCAAGAAAAAGGATTATCATTTTAAATTAACAAGCAAACTGCAGCAAGGGTCAAATCATTTGAGAACCCAATCCTGAATTTTCTTCACTTTGCCATTTTGTGTCTGGTATCTTTTGGCTCTTGTACAAACAACAACTCTGCTTTCCTTCCAATATCCAAGTGTTCACTTTTCATTGAGCTTCCAGGTTAGCCATCAATTCTTCATTGTAGAGCAATGATTTGTGATCCTGATCAGACTCATTTTAGATATCAAGATCAAGTGGGACTCTTTTGAATCAATGATGTACATCCCATGCTAAAAACCTAAATGATAGGTGATGTTGTAGGTGGATTTGCTTGAACAATTGTCAAATTTGAAATCATGGAGTATAGCAATACAAGAATCAAGTCTGTTTTGTTTTTTTCTTTATCCTAGCTTTGATATTCTATGGAGAAAAAAAAAATACAAACATCTGAAAGAGAAAGACAGAACTTTAAAATGATTTTAAATGAATGCACAAGGTATAAACATAAAAGAATCCTGTCAAATTCTTCATCTATGTGCCATATCTTTTCAGGATGTGAGTGATCATTTCTCTCCACAACTTCCCATTATTTGTAGCTCTTATTAAGGTTTGTCTGTTGGCTATCTCTACTAAACATTTACACAAGCTCATTAGGCAGGTTTATTCACTATTTACAACTCTCTTGGCTTCAGTATATCCAGTGAGTGTCAAATTCTCCATGCCAACTTTCCTCATTAGCGGTCCAACAAATTTCAGTCTTTTTCTGATTCTAAATATAAGTGTTCTTTTTGTTTCCCTTTTCCCTAAAAAGCTCCTCATTGCTCACATGTTCCTTCTATGGTATTCTCAACATCCTTCTATAGAATCACATCTCTATTGTCTCAAGTCAATAAGGAGATTGACTAACATTCACTGCTATCTTGGGCTGTCTCTTTCACTCACCACCATACATTCCTTTCTTCTTGCTCTTCTTGTCTAATAGTTCATAGTTTTCTTATTCTGATATCAGTACAGTGTCATCTATATAGTATACATTATAAAGTCTTGTAAATTGACAGTCAAAATTGAACTTATGCTGAGAAATAATTAAGTAGGGCTTTAGATTCAACTTCTTGTTGAAGATGTGTATTTTTTTAATCATTTCACCCCATGTAAGGCAATAAAGCCACTAAGACACAAGGGGTTACTGATTGTGAAAGAATATGAGAAAAAGAAATACATTATTAAGGAGAGAGGACAATAAAAGAAAGGAATTAAGACAACTGAAGACAACATTTCACACTGGAAAAATGCTACAGGGTTCTTAGTATTATTTATCGGAAACTTCAGAAATAAATGAACAGAATCAAATGTATAAACAAATATGCTTATTTATTTGATTTTGATTGGAGCAAGTCTTTTGTAATTCCGGTTGGCAAAAGTCTGTTTGGTTAGGTAGTTGACAAGTCAGAACTTGGTATCAGTCGAGTGCATGTTTACTTTGGAAACTTGTTTCGGATGTCAATCTGATGTGTCTTCTCAGCCCTCACAAGGGTGGAAAAATATCTTAAGCAGACTAACGCTTAACTTTTTCATGTGACATGCTGGGCTCATTTCTCTGGTGGTCCCTTCTCTGTCTCTGCCCCTTGGCTGTCTGCCTATATCCCTTAAGAAAGGACTCCAGACTACTGTCACAAAGTTTGGTTTCGGCTAACATCAAAAGTCTTTGCTTTTGCTGTTTTGATTGGCCAAAATTCTTTTATATTTTCTGGCATTCCTTTCTTATTTTTCTTTTTTTTTTGTATAGTGAAAGTTATGCGTGGAGCCTATCTTATTTTGGCAGATTTCTAGTCATAATGGCTAGGCCTATGACAAGCAAACTTCTACTGTTTTGTGTTCAAGTTCAGTCTTCGTCCTCTATTTAAGAGTTGCCTTCTCATTAGTTGGAAGAGAAGTAGAAAGAGAGAAGTGTAGAAAGAGAGATATGCGTTTTAAAAAAAAGAAAATGGCTTATTTTCATGTTAATTCTTTTATTTTTTTTTTTTTGTTTATATTTTTTCCTATCCAGACTCACCACAATACTGCATTATGATTTTGTTTTGAAGATCAAAGGAGACTGGAAAGCAAGAAGCCAGAGGACTAAGAGAGTCCGACAAGCAAGAAATAGGAGAAGAAACTGTTAGCATAGAACTTACAGTTATATGTGCACCATTCCAACTGTAAAATACCTACCTCTAACTAATTGAAAAAAACTAGGCTAAAAAAAAAAAAATAAAAAATAAAAATAAAAATAAAAAATAAAAAAAAAATTAAAATATTCCAAGACTTTATCATTGGGCTCTGCATTGAAAAAAAGAAAAAAAAAAAAAAAAAGAGATCGACAGAGGTGTGTGCCACTATATTTCTTTTGGTATCACTTTTTTTAAAAAGTATCTCTAACGTTTGACAAGTTAAGAAGAGTGAGTATTATTGTCGGGGAAAAGAAGAAAGTCAAACTAAACAGGTTTACGACAGAGTTTTTACCTTAGAAAAAAAAATGGGAGGGGCTTTGAGGCTTTACCTTTTTCGCTAACAACGTTAAAACATTAAAAAAAAATAAAAAAATATGCATGTCCCTAGTAAACAAAGTGAATACTTAACGTTTACTTTCAAAATAGACCACCGGCATATATTTTAAAAGTTTTTCTACTCAGTTTTAAAGTGCTGAACTGATGGGGAGGAGGACGTTCAATATTGTAGTCACTGACAAAATAGTGAATTACTTCAAACTTTTGGGACAAACTCATTCCCAAACACCGATACACCAGAGAAAGAGATTTTAGTAGAAAATTAGAAATAAGTATCAAAATTCAGGCCGACAAATCATTCATAAAGGAAAAATAAGAAAATATATTATACATCGTAAATACGGAAATATAAAACTGCAAAAAAAAGAAATAAATCTTTTTGATTTTTATCATATGGCAATTATTTAATTTTGATAGAAGAAGAAAAAAAAAAAAAAAAAAACATTGTTCGCTTCATCTTCCGCTCAAAGTAAGAAAAAATGAAATAAAATAGAAATAAAGAATTCGTTTTATGCTGAGACTAAAAAAATGATTTAAAAATGTAAAAAAAAAAAAAAAAAATAAAAATAATATGTTGATGATGATGAAACCGGGAAACCCAATACCTTCACTTTTCAGGTGAAACACTGAGAATAAAAATAGAAGCAGAAAGCTAAATTTTCCCCCAACGATTTCAATTTCATGATTCTATCTTTCTTTGGAATAGTAAATTAGTGTTTTACAAAAACAGTAACACGAACAGGAACTGCGACTTGAAATAAACATTTTTTTTATTGAAAAAAAAAAAAAAAAAAAAAAAAAAAGATCATTCAAAGGGGGCCCAAAAATTCATTATTGACCCTCCCACTCAGCGTAAGACAAAAAAAACCCCAAAAAAACAAATGCCCATACAACGTGTTTTTTTAATGTTAAAATCTAAGATATGAAAAATGAAATTAGTCAATCTCTAGTAGAGAGTACTTAACAAATAATAATTAAAAAAAAAAGCACGTCAGATTTGATTACAAATTTTAAAACTTTATTTTTTTAACATTTAAAAAAAAAAAAAATCACGTAGTAATTAGCATTTGTTTTGATTCCAGTGTCAGGAGGCGAGCACAATTTACATTGAATTTTATTTACTGGACCCTCCCGACATTAACTTACGAGTGGACACCGAGATCAATACCGAATAGCGACAATCTGTTTCATACATGAATGCAATCTTCCGGATCTATCCCGGATATTGAACACGACCCTGGACCCATTATTAACTCAGGGTGTTCCAAAAAGTCGCATTACCATTGATAAACCTTGTAAATTTTATATTTATTTACCAAAATGGAATTAGTTTTTTTTTTTGTATGTGACAATGAAGAAATTTTATTGGTCGAATTATGGAAGGATGATGTCATGCAATTTTTTTTTCCTTGTTTGATATTTGACAAGAAGTCACAAGTGGATGTTTTCTGTCAATTGTCGCGCGACTTTTGGAACATCCCATCTGTAGTGTAGTATACCTTTTAAAGTTATATTTTTTTTTTTTTTACTAGTGAGTAAATACAAAAAAATAAATAAATAAATAATAAAAACGTTAGATTTTATTAAAATTATTTTGTTATTTTCGAATTAAACATGCACATAAATTCGGGAAATTTTTATTACAAACAGAGCTCGGCGGGTCCTGAACTGCAAATTACCCCTAAGTCGCAATTATTAATTGTATTATTGTACAACTCAAAATTTTTTGCAGATAATCCGAAATTAGACAAACAAAGCTACAGTGGGATTCGAACCTCACCTCAGATTTTAAGATTCAAATAATTTGCCTGGACCGTCAGAGTAGGAATTGAAAAGATTTGTTAAAAATACAGTGGTTTTTTTTTGTTTTTGTTTTGTCACGTGGCTTGATTTTTGCCTTAAATTTTTCTTTCTTTACCCTCCAAAAATGTTTGTTTTTTTTTGGGAGGGGGCGAGATTTCTTTTTTCTCTCAAATGAATTTTAATTTTTAGACATATCTTGATTTTAAAATTAAAAACAAATAACAGGACAGTGTTAAAAAAAAAAAAAATGTACTTTTTAATGAGACAAGAAGAATTTGGTCTTTATTTTTTGCTTGTTGAGGTAAACGAAAAACGCAAGAAATTTCATTTTTTAAATTATCAATAAATAAAATGTTAGAAATTAAAATCTCAATGAAGATTAGAAAACTTACAAAAAAAAAAAAAAATGTCTATTTCCTTCAGTAAAAAAATTAATTAATTTACTTCTCATTTCTTAAATGTTTTTCTTATTGTTTACTCCCACGAAAAATAACGGAATTAGAGACAAAAAAAAAAAAAAAAGAATTATGGTAATAAGTTACTTTAAATTTCAAACTTAAGAATAATCAAATTAACAATTTTTAATCCATTTCTTTTTCAATAAATACTCACAGGATCTTGTCCGTCGTCATAGTCGACAGCTTCTCCACTTAAACATGGTAAACACATACCCATCTTTATCGTTTTTACTTAAAAAATCTGACGATTTCCAAAGAATTGATGATCACCCAAAAGAAAAACAAGTAAATAGGAAACCAATAAAACCAAAACTTTTAAAGAATGGCTTTTAAAAAATGCGTTATTTGGGGGCCTTTCTAGTCGCTGTTTATACACTTCCGAATGAATAATGAGAAACGGATATCACTGGCTACAAGCAATAACGCAACGAAAGATGCTGCTGCTGATGCTGCCAAAGTTAAGACTGGTTTTACAAATATGTAATTGAACTGGCACAACTCGTTATTGAATGGAAATAAATTAGGAAAAAATAAATAAATAAATAAATTTCGTTTAAAATATTTTTAAGTGTCTGTTCCATAAAAAAGAAAAGAAAAATGACCCCAATTTTATTTATTTATTTATTTTTTGAAGAATGGATTTTTTTAAAAAAATCCTGCCAAATTTCTGAATTCCTTAGCTGAGAGATTCTGTACTTTAGTTGATGAATGACACCACTCGTTTTTAGTATCATTTTCAATTTTAGTCCTCCCAGATTGCTCAAAACCACAATTATTTCCGACCTTCCCCTGTAAAATGTAGGAGCTTCCTGGTGGGGAGAAAACCTTCAATGGTTGTAGGAGGTGAGACGAAGAACCCAAATGCGGGTTACTTTGTAGTGTTGCGAGCCATGAAATTTTATTCTTGGGTTAGTAAAAAGTTGGTAATTTATTCAACTTGGCTAGTTTTGGCACTAGTATAGGGGCACCCAGTGAGGATTGAACTCACTACTCAGTAGCAACGGTGAATCAGACAAGCTTGTTAACGTTATTGTTTTCCATAACACATGTGACCGCAATCCTTTTTTTATCATAGAAATAAAAAAAGAAAGTTTTATTTTGACAGATAAGTGTGCTGTTTTTTTAATTTTTCTTGTAACCTTAAAAAAAGACTTTTCAGAACTGACTGTAAAATGATTCTGTTAAACTAAAAAAATATTTTTGTTGAAAATAATTTTTCTTAGATATTTTAAAATGTTTTTAAAATATGTTACCTAAACAATTTCTTTAAAAAATAATTAAGTTTTGATATTGGGTGGGGGGTGTGCACTTCACCAGAAGTTTAATTTTAAACTTGATCTTAATTTTATGTCCATTTTTATGAAAATAATAGCAGGTTCTGCTGTTAGCCCATAAGTTTTTTTTTTTTTTTTTTTAACTTTTAAGAAGGGTAAGTCTACGTACTTATGAAATCCTTTAACCCAACAACACAATGTTATTACTTCGACAGAACAAACTTTTTTTTTTTTTTTAGTTTTTAAGCTTCCGTACTTTAAAATTACCCATATATTTCCATAAGGCAAACAACGTCAAGGTTTTGGAAATTATGAACCCTAAATTTAGTTTGAGTCACCTTGTTCACTTTCACTTTAAAACTTTCGTTTTCACGAAAATGAACAGTCCCAAAGAAATATAGACAGGTATTGTAAATTATATCAGAAAATTCATAGAAAAAAAGTTAAACTTTAATTAATTCTTAACCAAATCTTTTTACTAAAATCACTGTTTTGTTACATTACACGATGTACTAAAAAAAATTTTTTTACACTAGTTTTTCTTTAAAGAAAAAAAAAGTGTGAAGAAATAAAATTGTCAAATACTTTCAAGAAATTATTTTTTCTTAAATGCAAAATGGTATCCGAAGTTATTTAAATTATATTTCAATTTATGTTCAGAAATTCCTTCATTCAAATTATAAAATTATTTAATCCTCAATTGTTGTAGTAAAAATAAATTTTGGTTATTTAAGGAAATGGTAAAAATGTCTTTTTCTTCGTCTCAAATTTAAGACCATAATTCGAATAAAAAACTTTGAGTTATTAATCAACTATTTCTACTTAGCCTGGCACAAGGCCACAAAGCATGTAACACCCACTAACACACATTATGGATCACTGAGTGACCTGGTTACTGAAACCAGCTTCGAAATGTCTAGGTCATTGTGAAATTTAGGCAATTAATCTGAATTTAGTAAACAAATACAGTCCACAACCAAAATTTGAAAACAATGATCCTTTTATTATTAGTTCGAGACTGCGAGTCAAGATTTCCTGAAGCAGTCCTTTTTTAAGTTAGTTAGTACGACACAAGGCCAGGAAGTGGCGGTTATAAAGATAGGGAGGAAAATCGTCTTCATATTTAGCGACAGTTTTCTTTTCGGAGTTCAGTAGAATGTGTCACACGCAATTAAGTTTGAAACTAACAGCAATATATAAATTGTTAAAAGCTTTTTATTTTATTTTTATTTATTTTTTCGTACAGCTTTACTTCTTTTGTTGAGACTTACTCGAACTTTAGAGCAAAAGATAACAGCAGTGTTTTGATGAGCCACATTTCTCCTTCAAAAAAACCTTCACAGTCGGTGAATTTAAGGAGTTTTACTTTTAATTCGAATTCACGACTCAATCTGTTATTGTTAAACTAAACAACATGCTTTCCAAGTATTGTATACACAAGCTTTGCGCTTCTTGCTGGACCCGTAGTGTATCAGCGAACTATTATTGTTATTGCACTAACCACAGGACCTCGACTCACCGAGTTTTTCAACATTTTTAATCTTGTTAAAAAAAAAAAAATAAGAAGAGGGACTTAAAATAACGACGAAGGAGTTAAAAAAAATCTAAACAAAGGTTCGACAGAACTTATAAAGTGGAAAAAGTAAGATTATAAAAGAAAGGCGCACATGCTGTTGGAATTAAGACTAGTTCTTTCTTACTACTTAGTCTTTAACTCTTTTAAATTAAGAAGACTAAGAGTCTTAAATCATACGTAGACTCATTTTACATGGGTTCGTTAATGAGAGAAACAAATGACTGTTCAGCTTAAACTAACAGAGGAAGACTAAGAAGAAAAGAAATGGTATACACAACTACGGCACGATAATAATTAGAAAACCCACCCTGCCTCATTAAGCAAAAATCCATTCTGATATTTTCTTCACATCAAACAACCGACGATTACGGTGTAACACTGTACAATATGCAACGCATTTTTCTTTATTTTGGAGAGAAAAAATTAAATGTCAACTTCATTTTTTTTTAATTTCGTACACCCAATAATTATATTTTTAAATTCAATCGTTATTTTTTTGTTCCTTTTACAAGACTTTAAACAAAAAAAAAAAAACACAAAAATTTATTTAAGTATAAAAAAAAAATCACCTTTTTTTTTTTTTCCAGAGTTCGAATACCCGCTGGCAATAACAACGTAATTCAAATCACACACACAAAAAGAAAAGCTCTAAGTCTAAATAAATTGTTTTTGCATGTGTGTACTCAACACAAAATCTTTGAGTTTCTTTCTTTTTAATATACCGATGCCATAACGATTATTAACTGGGTTCTGTTCCTCCCTGCTTAGGAAATTATTCCGTGTGTGTACACGCGCGCACGGAACCGAGAAAAGGAGGTGGACGAGGGGAAGTCACAATAATTGAATCACAAGAGAGAGAGGGGGGGTAAACTTCAATTACAGTTAACTAATTTGGCACCTTTGACTTTGAGGTGGAGGGTTAACGTCAAGTTTGAGACTGTAGTGTTTTGTTTGAAAATTTAGGGGTCTGATTCTCTCCTACGCTTGATTAAAAAAAAAAAAAAAAAACGTAAAATATTTTGTCTCACTTTTATTTGGTTAAGAGAAGACTAAGAAAGAGTAGTAAAAGACGCACGCACACACACATTTTTTCCGTCTCTCTTCCAAGCATCCAAATCGATGCAATTTAGGGAAATATAAAATTATATGGATACTGAGAGATAAAATTAAGCCGAAAATTACAGAAACAAATCTAAATGCTAGATGAATTAAAAAATTAATCAAATTTATAATTTTTTCAAATTACCTTTTAAAGAAAAACCCAGAAAATGTTTGCATGGGAACTAATTTAAGATAAAAGAAAAAATAACTTTAAGAAAAAAAATAAAGCATTGTTAATTGTTTGCTTATTTTATTAATCCAAACCCCAAAGGATTTATTGACAACCATGGGGTTCCTAAACGATGGTTAACAGTCCATTTCGATTTTCACTAAGTGCTCAACCCACGGCGTTAGGGAAGGTTTCAGCCCTCTACTTTTTTCCTGGAACTGAAAACTAAAAAGAAGAGAAGTTTTGGTTTCAATTTTAATGATAATGCTATTGACGGGAGTTGTATCATTTATTTCTCTATTAATTTTTAAAGTAAATAATAAAATTTCATCTTGCTTCATTTTTTTTTCTCTCGAAACATTTAACTTCTCTAAAAGTAAAACTTATGCAGAAGAAATAAGTATCATTCCAGAAAATAAGTACCAAAATGTGGTATTTTAAAAATCAAAACAAACAAAAAAAAAATGTGCAGAGTAGATAAAGAATTCATTTTATGAGTGGATCAAATGTATAATTAAAAATTCAAGGATCTTTTTAAAATAAACGAAACCTCAACATCTGACTTTTACCCTTCCACTTTTAACATCTGACCCCTTATTTTGTGGCACCATGACTGGTACTTAGTAGCCTGAATTTAGTTAAAAAAATATATACATATTCACAAAAATCAAACTCATTTAGTACAAATGTATATGTGAGGATAAAACAGTTGAGTAAACTAAAGTTTTTTGTTATTTCTCTCTCTATCTATCTATCTATCTATCTATCTCTCTAAACAGCCCCGTGTTAGTGTTGTAGTTGTGTTGAAAATCAGAAATCACTTTCTTTTTCAAACTTTTTTTTTTGTAGGGGTGGGGAATCTTCTAGTGTATTTCACCATATTTTATTTTTACAGTACTCAACTGCTTTTTATATTCGTAAATCCAAATCTCTCTGTGTGTGTGTGTGTGTGTGGTGACATTCGTGTAAAAACTGAAGAGAAAAACCCTAGAAAAGGTCTCTACGAAGAGGAAGGAAATATTTTATGAGTTGTAAAAGGAAGAATTCAAGGTGCCCTCCGTATGTCTCCCCACCCACTTCTTTGTGTGTGTGTGTGTGCGCGCACAAAAATTGACGGGGGCCACTGTCAACGCGTGTGGTAGCGACTGTCAATAATACCAATAATGCGGACTATTGTATAAAAGGACAAAACATAATCGAGAGAAAGAAAGAAGTGGATTAAACAAGGAGGTCGGGGAAAAAAAGCCGAAAACTCTCAGAGTCGGAGGATTGTGGAGAGAAAGAGGGAGGGAATCTAAGAGGGGGAAAAAAAGGAAGGAAGGAAGTGACATAGTAAGCAAACCTCTGGCTCTTAAAGACAAGCACTACCCGAACAAGAGGAATAATACACGCACGCACACCATTCCATACCAATAGAATAACTGACAGGAGAGAAGGAATATATTTACATTATTGCCAATATTGGAGTCAAAGAAGAAAGACGTGCCTACTAAAGGCAAGGATTAACAGTCGAAGTGGTGAATTGTACAGAAGAATGGAGTAAGTTATTTATTTTTCATTCTTTTCAAGAGGGGGTGACTTTTTTTTTGTTTCATATCTTGTTTTGCATGCTCTCTCTGAGTGCCAACTAATTCTTGTATATCGGTAAATGACTTGTCTTTAGTTACTTAACAAAAATTGTGCAGTTGTATTAGCTTTTATTTTGTTTAATTTTACTCTTTCTTGTTAAGATTGCATTTTTCTTTTTTTCATCGGAAGTAAAAGAAAAACACGTTCGGTATGTTTCTCTTAGAGATATAAACAATAAATCCCCTGAAAAAAAAAAAATATATACACACCTCTTTGAAAATTCCCTGCTTTTATAGTAAATGCCAGATTTTTTAAAGGGTGCATGGGCACACACGCACCTTACCTGAAGTCTTTTTTTTTTCTGTAATGTTTGTTGAATAAACTTTAATTTTTATTAATCTCTTCAAATATCTTGGAACTTAGTTTTTAACTTGATATTTTCCTTTCTCTCTTTTTTTTATATATTGATTATTGATGTATTTTTAATTGGGTTCAAAAAGACAAACAAAAAGAATAACACAACAAAAAAGAATAATTATGTATAGAAAAAAATAAAATTGATTCTACGTTTATTATTATTAACCTATTCTTTTCGAAACGAAAGTTTTGATTTAAAAAAAAAGTTAAATCCTTGAAAATATGACTTGCTTCAATCTATCCTAAACAAACAGCTGTTTTTTTTGTTTTTTTTAATAAAAAATAAAAGCATTTGCTATACAATGAGTTTTCGTAATTGAATTCTTTACCGAAATTACATTTATTAAAAAAATTCAATATAATTAAAAAAAAAAAAATATATGCAAGATTTGATTTGTATCTTCGGTTTTGAAGAAAGAATTAATTACTGGAATTTATTTTCTCTTTTACTTGCTGGCATTCAAGCAATCCAGAACTATTATTCAAATAAATCGAAACTTACCTATATTTTAAAATTGTCAAATTCAGATAATTTAACAAGGAAAAAACATTTCTATCGCAAATCCTTCATCTACTTTAACAAAATTCTTAACGTTTCAATTTTTTTTTTTTCCATCTTACTTTTTGTGGGGATGGCGGGAGAGATATCGATTTATTTATTTTATTTAAAACATGTCTTTGAATTGAAATGGGGGCCGTAGCAAAACTTGACATTTGACAGCATCAGTGAATAAACGTACAGACGTTGTTCTTTTTTTACTTTTTTTCTTTTCTTCTTTTTGAAAATGATAGTTAATTTGAGAAAAAAAAAACCTAATGAAGCTATTTGTTTTCAGTTCACTTTTATGGTTATAAAAAAGTGGTCACCTGACTAAACATTCCTCGTACCCCTTGCTTGACGTGGATAGCGTCATGAAATTATTTTTCTTGGTATTTCTTTAACTTCTCTTTCTCCTTAAATAACTTTTTGTATTATAATTATTATTGATTGAGGCTGGTCGGAAAGTTTCATATTTCAATATGAGACTTTGCATTAGTTAGAGTTGATTTTTATTTTATTACTTTTTTTTGTGTGACACGCGGGGTTAAAAATTTCAAATTAACTTGTGTGTGTAAAAATAAACTGTTTTAATTACAGCATTTGAAACTTTTATGTCAACCAACGTGATCGAACCTACAACGGTATACTTTGTACGTGGTATTTATTTCAAAACAAGGCGGCAGTCACAAGACTACATGATAAAACTACAAGACACCCAGTGAGGACGTGTAGTTTGTGAACTGCAAGACATCATTCAAACAAACAGCAAAACGTTTTACTTTTATATGTCGCAAGTACACAAAAATAATTTCCCAGAGTTTTATTTTTTTTTTTTATAACTGTTCATAGTTTTATCGTCAACTAGATTGTCTTTTTTACTTAATAAGCCACGACTGTACCCTATTGTTATTGTTGTTGCCATTTGCCGAACAAGCATTTTTTTCCCCCCGGCCACAACTCTAGACCACTTCTTAGTCATATACTTACCGTTTACCGTAACGACATCAGTTTGCGATCTTTTCCTATTTAAACTCCCACCTAAATTATTTTATGGACAAGGAAATACCATTTGTCTTCTGTTCGGGATAGGATGGTGGCTGGAAACTAGCGATTTCAGTGTTTTGTTTGTTCGTTTCTTTTTGTGTTTTTTTTTGTTTTGTTTAAAAACCAAAAGAAAACATCGATCGTTAGGAAGAGTTTCGTTCTACTTTTTCTTTTCAATAAACTTCATAAACTCATTAATGTTGACCGTCAGTCTCTTGCTCTTACTTTCACTGATTTTAATGTCTCTTTTTATTCCACGGAAAAATGAATCGAAATTCCAGCAAATTTCTAAATAAGCGAAACGAGGAATTCACTAAAAGAAAAGACAGACTTCGATCGATCGTAAATGTCAGCTTTTAAAAATGTAAATATTTTTTTTTTTTTTTTTTTTAAGTTTGCTGTCTTATTTTGATCACAAATTAAAAATTATTAAATGTCATAGACTATTATTGAGTCAGGTATTCCTTCATTTATTGGAGGGAGGGCTTGCCGAAACTAAATTCAACAACGATCAAATATTTTGACAAATGTTCTTATTTGTTTTGTCATAAATGTCTTTTTTTTTTTTTTTTTCTTTCTTTTTTTATGTATCGCAGATACTCTCTCTTCTTTCCTTTAATTTTGTAATCTTGTGTAGATTTTTAGCAAAATCATCTTAGAGATTTGGATTCATAGATTAGCTACGGTTCCCTTTTTTTTTTTCTTGTCAGGTGCACATCGATTTGAAAGGTTCTTTTTAGCATCCACGCATAAAATATTTCGATGATGTCTTCATAAAAAGTAACCAAATATTAAGATTTTAAGTGTTACTTAAATTTTACGAAGCATTTCCTAAGGATGTGTACAGTTCCTGATATTTCCCCCCTCCACTTAATGTGGTTTATTGGGATCTGCTCAGGGTGATTTAGTTCATTTTTAATAGTTAGTATCAAGCGCTCAATTGACTCCCCCCCATTCCGTCTTTTAGTGTTGAATACTATACACATTGAATGGAATCTTTCGATTTCCAGAAAATAAAATATGTGAATGAAATGGATCAGCTTATCATTTGAAACCGCAGTAAAAGACAGACGTTTGCCTTGGCTACAGTTTTTTTAGCCGTTTGTCTCGTATAGCTTTTTTCTACTTTAAAGGAAAGATATGCCGACTTTGAAAGTAAGTTTTTTTTTTTTTTTTTTTTTTTTAAGTTTTGATCTTTTTGTATTTAATTAAATTTTTATCCCTTTTCCATGTTTAATAAGTAGCAAGAGACTTAAAAGAAAAATAACTTTTTAAAAATTTATCCTATTCATTTAAGGCTTGACTGTACATATGATTTTCCTATGCGACTAAAAAGAATTTTTTTAGCTTTCCAAACTAAAAAAATGATATATTGAATTACAAACTTCATGGGCGAGTGACCAAACGGTCAATGACTCTTACATTGACCTTGTCCTTACTTTAAAGACAGACAATTGAATTTAAGAAACACAGACCCTCTATGCTGAGTAATAAGACTGACTCTTATGAAGTTTAGTTCCCTATGGGACATTGGGAAATTTAAAATTAAAAATAAAAAATCCCAAAGGACTATAGTTTCCATCTGAATACAACAATTTTATTTATTTGGGATCTGTCAATTCCGGCAGAGCTGGATTATCCTTTTAGGCTGCGGCCCAGGCCCCGTCAAGCTCTTTAAAGCAACGATTTTAATTTTCAAGATGTTATAGTTTCATAAATTAAAATATAACCAACGCATATTTTTATTTGACTAAGAAGCAAGGCAAGGAAAATAATGTTTTACACTATTCGAACTATTGTCCTCATCTTTGTTGTTATTATCACAACGTTTCGGCCGTTGCGCCCTCTAGCCTTCATCGGGTGTATATCGATCTGGGTAACCTACAGGGAATTTTGAACTGAACCCTTTATTTAATATATGGAGACAGACTGTTCTCTTTCCACTGCTCATGTAGTACTGTTCAGTTATTGCTTTGCTCGTACACATTGCCCGACCCAGACATGAGCAGTGGAACAAGAACACTCAACCCCCGTAAATTAAAGGGTTTTGCCAGTTCGATATAAACCTGAAGAAGGCCGGAGGGCACAATGGCTGAAACGTAGTGATAACAACGAAGATGAGGACAATAGTCCGTATATAAATAGTGTTAAAAATATCTCCTCATCCCAGAAATTCACACAAGGAAAACTGAAAAGAATGTTTTAGTAAAGTTTGTCATTGTGTTTCAAGTAGATAACATGTTTGATTTTTAGTTCAGAATGTTTTTAGTTTAAATCTTAGGAATTTTTTTTATAAAGTAGTGATTCTTAATTTTCTAGATGTTATAACTTTTATAATTTCAAAAACTGAAATGATATCAAGATGAAAAACTTATTTTGTTTTTGTTCTTATAATGCTGATTATAAAATTTTTTTATGGTTGTTGAAGTATGTGCTAATTTGGTTTGCAATAAATAGTTAAACAGTAAAATAGCAGTATTTCTTAAAGAATATATTTTTATTAACGAGCAAATTATTAGCTGTTAGTTTATTTAAAGAATTTGCAATAAGTTTACAAGTGATGTAAATATCACTAAAATATAAAAAGTATTCAAGACAGGTGCAGTTGAGTTAGAGAATGGGCTCTGTCTGAGGGGTGGCTAATTTCATTAGCAGAGGAGACCCCAAAAGGTGGTTGGGGAATGAAGAAATTTGTTTTGAAGTTCATACTGAACAACTAGAAAAATTTATACATATCACTGACTCCATCAATAAAAATCA